TCACTGTCCACTCTGCCTGTCAAAAAAAAATATAAATTTCCAAAGTACAACTTTTGGATTATAGCAGCTTTCCCCCTTATAACCTCCCTCCCACACCTCCCACCCACAAAGCATCCCATATCCCACTCCCTCTCTCATCCCATTCTTCATCAAGATTCATTTTCAATTATCTTTATATACAAAAGATCAACTTAGTATATACTAAGTAAAGATTTGAACAGTTTGCACCCACACAGATACACAAAGTATAAAGTACTGTTTGAGTAGTAGTTTTACCATTAATTCACATAGTACAACACATTAAGGACAGAGATCCTACATGGGGAGTAGGTGCACAATGATTCCTGTTTTTGGTTTAACAATTGACACTCTCAAGATGTCAGTAATCAACCGAGGCTCTTGTCATGAGTTGCAAGGCTATGGAAGCCTCTTGAGTTCACAAACTCCGATCTTATTTAGACAAGGCCATAGTCAGAGTGGAAGTTAGTTCTCTCCTCCCTTCAAAGAAAGGTACCTCCTTCTTTGATGGCCCATTCTTTTCGCCCACCACATTTTTCTAAAGCTAAGTTCATTTTCCTTAGTTCTTTTTTCTCTCTGATGTTTTACTTGTATGACCTATGTTACTCTGTCTTCAGATTCACCAGTTCTTCTGCCAGTTCAGATGTACTGCCCTTCTGGTGAATTTTTTATTTTAATTATTACATAGTTTTCAACTCCAGAACTTCAATTTATTTATTTTTTAATAATTCCTACCTCTTTATTTGACATTTCATAATGCCTCCTTTTACTTTAGTTGTGTAAATTTCCTCCCAGTGAGCATATTTATAATGGCTATTTTCAGGTCTTTTTCTGCATGTTTTGGCCATATGTGTGAAATAAGTATTTTACGGCATCTTTTAAATGTCATGTAATACCCTGATGGAAGCTAGACATTTTAGATACTCTTTTGTATCAGTTCTGGGTACTGGTCTTTCCTTCCCAGGACTTGTTACTGCCTTGTTTCTTTTCTAGTTTCTGCTGGGATTATTGAGGTGCAGTCTGTACAGCAGTGTTAAGTCTGATGCTGTACTTGCTTTCAACAGTACCTTGAGGCCCAAGTTGTTTTGCAAGCTAATGCAATTATGGCTCTTTCAGGAATAGTTTCCAAGGTCGCTGTCTTCTACTTGTTCTAACTCTGGGGGTGCTCTTCCTAGCCACCTTGTACTCTGCCTCTCTGCTATAAATCTGGTGGTCTAGAGTTCAGGCTGTATCTTGCTTGAATCCATGAATCTATTCCCCATTGCCCTATACTACGACCTCCATGGTTCTGATAGTGCCATCACGTTTGAGCTTTTCCATACTCTATTGTAAATGGAAGAGATTTGAGGACCCCCTCTTTTGACCTGCTTCTCCCTCTCTCCTTTTCAAGTAAGGACTCTAGAGCTAGGAATGGAGACACTCCCACTCTGGGAGCTGAGTGCTGGGTTGTAGGGTTGCTGCCTGTCTCACTATGAAGCCACTCTTTTGGAGCAGAATTTCTGCCTCCTTGAGCTTGTTGGAGAGAGAGATCAAGCAGTGTTCATTGAAATACCACAGCTCGACTTTTCTTGAATAATTTTTTTTTTCATTTGCTGTTTGCTCTTAGGACCATTTCCAAAAGGTTTCAGTTACTTGGTTTTAGCTTTATTTTAAAACAACTTTAACTGGTTTGACTGGGGAAGCAGGTCAGCAGAACTGCTCTTGCTGTCAGCCTGAAAGCCAGTCTTCTGATGCTTTTTAAATTTTCTACACAGGCAAGTACAGGTAGCTCTTAAAGAAGGCTAGTTTGCTAGGAGCCTGAATGAGAAAACTGACATGTTTTGGTTGATTGGTTAATAGGAGATAAAGACTAATGAATTCTAAGCAAAGGTACAGTGAGATGAGAAAATAAAAGGGAAGGATAGGCATAACCTGCCTCATTGTTTGGATTCCTTATAGGTTTAGGATACTTAAAGGCTTTGGCTTTAAAGTTTTTGAAGACTAGAAGTTCTGAAAGCTGAGTGTCTTGCTAAATGTGAGTGTGTGAGTTCTATTCATTGGCTTGCTGAACGAACAGCTTTCCTATTTTTCTGTGCATAAACATTCAGCAAAACCCCCAGGCGTTAATAAACTTAAACTAGCCTTTACTTCATATAACGTTCAACTCATATTCCTACATATAACCTTGTTATTGCACTCCTAACTTTATACTTGATGAGAACAGCTGATTCTCAGCAGCTGTGACTTAGCTAACTAGCATTATTAAATTCAAAGTTTCTAGTGTATTTAGCAATATTTGTAATTTTTTGATTAAGATTTATTTTATTTATTTGCGAGGCAGAGTTACAGAGAGAGAGGTCTTCCAATCGCTGGTTCACTACCCAAATGGCCACAGTGCCAGAGCTGGGCCTATCCAGAGCCAGGAGCCAGGAGCTTCTTCCGGGTCTCAGAAGTGGAGACCCAGACTTGCAAGTACAGGTGCCCAAGCACTTGGGCCATCTTCCACTGCTTTCCCAGGCCATTAGCAGAGAGCTGGATTAGAAGAGGAGCAGCTGGGACATGAACTGGCATCCATATGGGATGCTGGCATTGCAGGCGGAAGCTTAGCCTACTATGCCACATTGCCAGCCCTATATTTGTTATTTTCTGTAGAGTAACAGAGTTACATGTATTTTAGGAGTCTTAAGGCCAGTGTGTTAAAGCACTTAGCTACAGGGCTGGCATTGTGGGTTAGTGGGTAAAGCCACCACCTGCAGTACCAGCATCCCATTTGTGTACCAGTTTGAATCCTGGCTGCCCCACTTCTGATCCAGCTCTCTGGTTTGGCCTGGGAAAGCAGTAAAAGATGGCCCAAGTGCTTAGGTCCCTGCACCCACATGGGAGACCTGCAAGAAGCTCCAGGTTCCTATCTTTGGACAGGCCAAGTCCAGCCATTTCAGCCAATTAGGGAGTGAAACAGCTGATGGAAGACGTGTCTGTCTCTGCCTGCCTGTAACTCTGCCTTTCAAATAAATAAATCTTTTAAAAAAAGAAAAAGCACTTAACTACAACCTTGTATTAATATGGTAAATTTGGTTCCTAGTTTTTCTTCTTCCAAAAGCTTGATAGCTGTATATGTGAATCAAATTACTTCAAATGCAAATTAGCGCAGTAGTAGGGAGAAAGTGAAGGCCCTACTGCTTTCTGTACTAATTCAGAAACAGGGGAAAACCACTGAGCTTTGTCTGTGTACATTCTTATATTTCCTTAAAAAGATTTTTTTCTTTAATGCTGGGAAACCTTAAGACACCTCTTTCCCCTATCAGTATCTTTCAGTGGGCTATTGATATTTTCTAAGGTTTATTTCATTTTTGCTATTGGAGTTTTATAAATCAGCTTAACACATCCTCAAGTCCTGATTGTGTGTGAGGCACATTGTCACGTTTGTGAGGGGTGTAGAGAATTGTGAGACTGAGATGTGTTTGACATGTCAAGACCTAAATGCACAGCAGTTTAAATGACTGCTGAGGAGGGTAACCAGGGTATGTGGTCTATTATGAAGCCAAGTTTGGGCATATATAGCATCTGGACAGGCTTTGAGGAACAGGAAAAACCTCAGGTTGGTACAAAAGTCCGGCAGGCCGTAATATGCATAATGTCTTCTGCAGACATGAGGTGACCTCCTAGACCTTCCAGTTTCTATGCCTTTTAAGGAAGTGTGTGATTGGAAAAGTTAATGGTAGTGGACCTTGAATGTGAAACCAAGAACTTTTGACTTTCTTATATGGTCCATCAGTGGGAAGCCATTAAAGCTTTGAACAGGCAAGTTATGGCTAATGATGGTGTGTAGGGTGAATTGAAAACTATAGGGTTGCAAGCCTAATTTCCTCTCACTTTCTTCGTCTCTTGCTTTAACGGATGAATATGAGCTATGTTTCAAACTAAAAGTTTTTTAGAGGCTGGTGATTTGGCATAGCGAGTTAAGCTGCTGCCTGTGACACTGGCATCCCATATGAGTACCAGTTTGTATCCTGGCTGCTCCACTGCCTATACAGCTCCCTGCTAATGACCTGGGAAATGCAGCAGAGGATGGCCTAAGTGCTTGGGCCTCTGCCACCCACGTGAGAGACTCAGATGAAATCTTGGCTTTGGCCTGGCTCAGCCCTAGCTGTTGCAGCCACTTGAGTGAACCAGCGGATGGAAAACCTCTCCATCTCTTTCTGAAACTCTGACTTTCAAATAACAAATCTTTTATTTAAAAAAAATTTTTTTTAACCTGTAGTGTATAAACTCAATACAGGTATCTATAAAAACAAGACTATTAACAATGAACATATAGGTGCCTGAATAATTCATAGGTAACTGAGGTGTTACATAGTTTGAGCTTTAAGGAAGTCAGAGTAACTTGAATTCTAGTTTTGCCACATACTTTGTAAAGTTGAACAAATCCTTCTATATTTCTAAGCCTTATTCTTTTCATCTAGAGATGGAAGCTAATAATACCATCAGCTCAGGGTTGTGAGCGTTCAGTAAGATAATGTAGGTAAAGCAGTTAGCATACTCCCTGGCAGACAGTAAACATCTCCAGTGAATACCTTTGGTGCTGTTGATATCATTGCTGCTGTTATTGTGTTGTCATCATGTACCCATCAGGTACATGTACTGTTTCCATGAAGCAGTGTATTCTGAAATTTGATCTTGTACTGTAAGGAAACTCTTCTCCTCTTGCCCCACCCAAATCACAGGACCTGCTGAGTGCCTCTGGACATTCCTTTTCTCTGTTCCATTTGTCTTGCCTTTTCAGTGAGGACATGCCAAGAAAATAAGATTTCTGGTTGCTGCAGAGAAGGCACCATTTGTTGCCAGTTGTGGGAGAATGTGGTTGTCTTTGTAGAATACACATGATATTAGGTGTTGTGTGTGTGTGTGTGTGTGTGTGTTTCATAGAGGTAAGTTCCGATATTATACATTAATCTGTAGCTGTTTATTATTCAAAAATTTAGACATGTCTTTACTTTTGTCAGGTTTAAGCCGTTTTTTCCATACCAAACTTTGCAAGGATTTGAAGAAGATGAAGAACATATTCACATACAACAATGGGCGCTTACTGAAGGCCGTCTTAAAGTTACGTTGTTAGAATGTAGCAGGTATGTTCTTTGTTTTGTCATTACCACCTAATGGGAAAGAAAGTGGGGCTAACGTGTACTTAAGCTGTATTTATATTTATTTCTGTTTTGTGTTTATATTATTTATTTGTAGATGCTTTGACTATAAATTTAATTTCATAAAAATTATCCTTTCTAGGTTACAGAAAAATGTAAACTATGTTTTAGAAAGTGCTGTGAATTGGCGAGGGGCAGGGGGAGAAGAGGTCTTATTCTGCAATAATTTCCAAACTCTTTATCTATATGTTCTGTAGGCATATTTTAACTTACTCTACCTATTGGAGAATTGTTCTAGAATAACAGTTTTGAGAATTGTTTGTGATAATCAGAAATACTCAGAGAAGCTGCAAAACCCATAAGGGTTCTTAACATTTTAGAACTGAAAGAGGTCTCAAAAATAAACTTATCTAGTCTTTTTATTTTACTTTGCAACACCATGGCCTGGCCAGTTATGTTCATTCTGTGCTTGTACTACTTACTGCATTGCCCTTCTTACTTACCTCCTAACACTGGTTCCCAATAGAAACAGCCAGAATGATCTTTTCAAAATGCAAATCCAGTTGTCACTCTCCAACTTAAAACTCTTCAATAGCTTCCCCGTTACTCTTAGGATAGGGACCCAAATCCTCATCACAAACTCTAGGTCCCACTTGCCTCTCTAACTTCTTTCTCACCATTCTCTGCCTAGCCCTTCACTCACAATGCTTCAACTACACAGGCCTTCCTAAGAGGGGATTGGCAAACTTTGTATCTAAAGGACCAGATAGCAAATATTTAAGGCTTTGTGATTCACATGGTCTGTTGCGTCTACCCAAACTGTTTGGTAGTACAAAATAGTCACAAACAAGATGTAAATTAATGGATTACTATGTGCCATTAAAACAACATATGGATTTTATAAATCTCATGTGTCATCAAATGTTGTTCTTCTGATTTTTGGTTTAAAAACCACTGGTGGTCCAGAGGCAGTGGGCTAGATTTGGGCCATCAGCGGTAGTTTGCCATTCTCTGCATAGATATTTTAAAGTACCAAGCCCTTGTGTTGATTCCATGCCATTTTTCTGGCCTACTCCCTTCTTTGCTTCTGAAATCAGCCTTTCATAGAGTATCTTAAAAGCCACCTCATTAATATCTCTCCTGCTCATTCTAAATACAAGTGTACTATCATTATGCTACCTTACTGTGACATTTGTTTATACCACTTAGTTGGTACTTACCACTTTTATTTTTATTTCCAACTTATAATAAAACTAAAGACTTGAGTACAGAGATTCTATTTTGTACCTAATACATTTGTGTCCTTGCTGATAGAAAAAGATTTAGTATACTCAAAATAAGCCTAAGTCCTAGAGTAACTGAGGATTGTGCATCGCACATCAAAGTCTGGTTGACAAGGAATTTTTTTTAATCAAAAAGAGACTAATGTGTTGTATATTTTATAAAAGGAACTGTAGTGTACAGTAAACACAGGCATAATAGATACTAGTTAGGTATTTAGAAAAAACTAATTCTTCTGCCTTAGTGTTACTGGTGGGGTTGTAGATTGATTATAGGTCTGTTAACCTATGGCTGTTTGACCACTGGCTTTGGTATTACCTTTGCTCGCCAATCTCTTGCTTTATCTGTGATAACTGCTCACTTAAAACCTTGCTATAGGAATCAAAAATTGCAGAAGGCATTGAGAAAGTATAGTCAGACATTGCTAAGTCATGTTGAATTGAGAAAAATATTAGAATTTGTGGAGTACTTGGGACCAGCGTTTTTATAAAAGGAACTATATAATTTAATAAGGAACTCTATGTTCTCTGATGGAATGCATGAGAAGCCAATGAAATATCTATCGGTTAAAGGGCAGGCAGCTGGGTTGATGATGGGCAAAGCTCAAGGTGAAGGCTGAACTTTTCACTATAAACTTTATTTTGTTTGGTTTCTGTGACTGTGTCAAAAATTAAAGAGAGTACGTAATTGAACCAAAGGGGAAAGCATAGAAAATAGTCCCTTTTATCACTCGTTTTCTGTTAGTCTGGTAGACTTGGGTTCCTTAGACAGCACCTTTCCCTAGGCCACAACTTTATCTTGGGAACAGGAACACTATCTAATAAAGAGCTTTCTAGACATTATCTATGAACCTGAACTTGTAAAAGTTACTTAATGTTGGGGCCAGTGCTGTGGCATAGTGGTAAAGCCACCAACTGTAGTGCTGCCATCCCATATGGGCACTGTTTCGAATCTCAGCTATTCTACTTCCAATCTGGCTCCCTGCTGATGTACAAAGGATGGCCCAAGTGCTTGGGCTCTTACACCCATGTGGGCAACCTAGAAGAAGCTCCTGGCTCCCGGCTTCAGCCTGGCTCCACCCCAGCCTTTGAGGCCTTTTAGGGAGTGAACCAGCAGATGGAAGATCTCCCTGTCTGTAACTCTGACTTTCAAGTAAATAAATCTTTAAAAAAAAAAAAGTTACTCAAGTGTTGCAGTGCTGTGTTATTAGTTCATACAGTTTTAAGGATTATTTTAAATAGTATTTAAAAGATTTATTTATTTATCAGAAAGTTAGAGTTACACAGAGAGAGAGAAGGAGAGAAAGAGAGGTCTTCCATCTACTGGTTCACTCCCCAGTTGGCCTCAACAGTTGGAGCTGTGCCAATCCAAAGGCAGGAGCCAGGATCTTCTTCCAGGTCTCCCACAAGGGTGCAGGGGCCCAAGGACTTGGGTCATCTTATTCTGTTTTCCCAGGCCACAGCAGAGAGCTGGATTGGAAGTGGAGCAGCTGGGGGCCGGCGCCGTGGCTCACTTGGTTAATCCTCCGCCTACGGTGCCAGCATCCCATATGGGTGCCGGGTTCTAGTCCCAGTTGCTGCTTTTCCAGTCCAGCTCTCTACTGTGGCCCAGGAGGGCAGTGGAGGATGGCCCAAGTGCTTGGGCCCCTGCACCCACGTGGGAGACCAGGAAGAAGCACCTGGCTCCTGGCTTCAGATCAGCATAGCGCCAGCCGTGGCAGCCATTTGGGGAGTGAACCAATGGAAGGAAGACTTTTCTCTCTGTCTCTCTCTCACTGTCTGTAACTTTACCTGTCAATAAATTAAAAAAAAAAAAAAAAAAAAAAAGGAAATGGAGCAAGCTGAAAACTTCAAACTGGGCTTGCATATGAGACTCAAACTGGCATGCATATGGGATGTCAGCACTGCGGGTGGTGGCTTTACCCGCTACACCACAGCACTGGCCCCTATTTTAAATATTCTCTTAGAAGAGAATAAGTTACTATTGTCAACTTATTCTTGCTTTTTTTATATTCCTATTGAATTCTGAACAATCTTTCTATATTCTCGTTAAAGTCTTACATTACTGTTTTTCTGAAGATCTTTTTCTTAGAACTCTTAATTTAGACAAATTCCAAATATGTAGGATTCAGACTAAAGGGGAGATAGAAATCTAACCAAAGTATTTTTGTTTCTATTGTTTGTTTTAAATTTAATTTAAGGTTCACAAACTTCATGTATTTCATATGCAAATTTAGGAACATAGTGATTTTTCCTGCCCACACTCCCACCTTTCTTCCTCCTCTCTCCTATTCTAACTCTTAATTCTTACAAAGATCTATTTTCTTCTTCTTTTTTTTAAAAAAGATTTATTTATTTATTTGAAAGAGTTACATAAAGAGAGAGAGAGGTCTTCCATCTGCTGGTTCACTCCCCAATTGGCGCAATGGCTGGAGCTGCACCAATCCGAAGTCAGGAGCCAGGAGCTTCTTCCGGGTCCCCCACACAGGTGCAGGGGCCCAAGGACTTGGGCCATCTTTTACTGCTTTCCCAGGCCATAACAGAGATCTGGATTGGAAGTTAAGCAGTGGGGACTTGAACCGGCGCCAATATGGGATGCTGGCACTGCAGGCGGCAGCTTTACCTGCTGTGCCACAGCGCCTGCCCCACAAAGATCTATTTTCAATTTGTGTAGTTTATTGTAATCTCTGAAGCAGGAAGAGAGTGACACTGGAGGAAATAAAAAACAAATGACAGTGCCTTTCTATATTCTTTTGAAGGAATGACCAAGACTGCCTATTTCATGTTTTGAAAACAGTGGCTTAATAACTAGTGAGAAGCAAAGGTTTGAAACAAGCAATGATCAAATCTTTTGAAAGGACATAAGCACTTAAGATGTTGTGAGGCATTGGTAGTTCAGTGGTGGAATTCTCTATAAACCATTTGTAGATCAAAGTTGTCTTACTGTCATGAGTAGAAGTTTCCCGGGTTTGTAGCTACTATACACACATATTCATATTTCCCTAACTTGGACAAGCCTGTTTAAACATGTTCAAGTAGTTATAAAGTCTTACAAATTGTTTATTCTGATTTAATCTAAATATTTTTATTAATGTTTATTACTAACTAGTAATTTCCCCCCAGATTCATGGAGTGGTGTATCATACTTACTATCCACAGACAGCCATGGTTCCAACAGAGGACTTCTTTTTTACTTTTTAAACTGTTTACTTTGAAATAAAATGGTTCTGTGTAAGGACTTTAACTTTTTATGTGGAAGTAATTTTAGACTTAGCAGAGAGTGAAGATTTTTATCAAACTTACTGTGGTAAGATTTGAGAGTAAATTTTGCCAGTGAAAACATAACTTAGTCTTATTAATAGAATGCAAACAGTGCATTGAAATTGTTAGAAGAGTTGTACAACCCAAAGCTTTATGCTTTTGAAGGAAGCAGACATGGAAGCAACATAGATTTTTGAGTATAGAGAGCACTGAGTTCACATTCCAGTCTTGTCACCTTCCTGTTTGATTGGGCAAATGTGCCACTGTGCTGAGACTGGAGATCAGAGATAGGTTAACTGAACTATTGTGCTTCCCATATGGCAAGCCTGCAATTCATAGTTTCTATTATCAAGTCTTAATATGCTCATTGTAGTATTATCAAGAAAAGGAAACCTTAAACAAAGCTATGTTCTCTTTTGCATGTTTGATTATGAGAATTGAAAT